TTTTTTTATATATATCGGGTCGGGTCGGGTCGGGTTTGCTTAAAATCCGACCCCGACCTGAACCCGAAATTTTTTTTACTCTACCCGACCCGATACCCAATTTTCAAAAAAAAAAAATCGACCCTAAGAAGTCAGGTCGAGTCGAAACCCGACGGGTTCGGGTGATTTTGCCCTCCCTAGTTACAAACAAAACATGGATCATCCAACATTATCTGAAATCAGCTAGTATTATTAAAGTTGACATTTAAAAGTTACAAATTTAAAAGAGTTTAAATGCGTAATGTCTTCTTCAATCAAGTATATAATTAAATAAGAGAGTTTACCAGTAAATTAGGAAATTCAAAAAAAAAAAAAAACACTAAAGAAGGGTGCTTTTGCATTTCTAATAAAATTCAAGAATTATTTGAAGTTAACATCAATACGGTTTTGAATTTAAGATTTAACTTAGTTAATTCATAAAATTACTCTTAAAATTAACATCCAACAAGCTTTTAAATTTTAAATTTTAACAATTGTAATTTATTTCTCGATTGCCATATTGTCATTTTTTTTTTTTATAAAAAAAAATCAACAAGGTCTTAATCTTTGTGAACTATAATTGTGCTTGCTTAATTTAATGCAAACATTTTGGAAGGGTTCTTTTCATGTCACATAAAATTTAAGGTTTAGTTTGTAGTTAACATCAGCAAGGTCTTAATCTCGGTGGGATATTATTTGTACTTGCTCTAATGAAAACATTCAAAAAGGGTCTTTTCATTTCAATAAAATTCAAGAATTATTTGTAGTTAACAATTAACATCAACAAAGGTCTTAATTGTACTTGTTCATTTCATTTGTAATAAAAAAATTTTAAGTTTTATTATTAAAGGTGAAAATCTAAGAGAAAATGACATTATATATGTCATTGTGTCACAGATTTCAGGTGTGAAGCACTTTCAAAAAATTTATGATGCTTAACTTTGCAGTGATGGGGATTGTTAAACTTAAAACTTCTACTTGCATGTAACATGCAATAAGTAACCCTCATTTGCCAATAAATTTTACCCATTTTATTTATTTTGGTAAATATAATTTTTAGGTATGCAACATATTGTAATTCTCTCAATTTTATCCGATAAATTTCATCCCTCCTTTTTTAATTAAGATCTGAAAATGAAACTTTCATGTTAGAGTTTTAAATTCTAACAATTGAATTGTTTACTTGAAAACAATTTTACCCACAATTCGAGAATGCATAACGAAGAAATTTCACTTGTTATCTTGTAATAACTGCCCCATGTGACTAAAAGGTTATTGACGAAATTAATTCATACATGATAGAACTTGAATTTAAAACCTAAATAAGTTTTTTCTTTGCCACTGAGACTATTTAATAGTACTTTACTACATGATTTTTGTGTAAGTTGATAAGGTTTCATTGATTTTGAAAGTACTCTTCATCAAAATTGGCTGTGTATGATCATTCATCAAATCTTCAAAGGATTTTGCAGTTGAAAAATCTGTGAATATGGAACCAAAAAAAAAAAAAAAACCTTCTTGCAATGTTGAATTGTCTATTATTTTTCACTTAAAAGGAAAACTAACTTATGTACTTTTGCCCATAAGACAGATAGAAAAGAAAATGACTTATTGAACAATATACAGTCCTTGACAATCTTAAAGTTGCTTTGAAGTAATATCAGTTCATTCCCATTACTACTTGGAATTGAAGAGCCTGAAAATTTTGGTCCCTTAAATAATATGATGCTAATAACAGTTTAAACTTGTGTGCTGGAAATGACTGTTAAACTGTTGGACAACAATTGAATTAATTCACCCATTAAAATTTTGTTGAGGAGTTAGTTGGCCTCATTAATTCATATACAACTTCCTTGTCCCCTCATCCAAACACACCCTTTACTTTTCAGGTAAATATGGTGGGATTTCATTTCCCAAAAAATGGAAAATTATAGAATTTTGGATTTGGGTAGTGCTTTTTTTTTTTTAGGGATTTGGCAAATGTAAAGGTTTTTTATGAAGATTTGAAACTGGATTGCTAATACTGAGATTTAGATATCACTTTTTGAAAGTGATTGAATGAACCTAATATAGAGTTTATTTGCTATGATGAAATAGCAAAAGCGAAAAAATTAAAGGTAAATGATAGGTATGAAACTCGTTGTCTTTCCAAATTAATGAATATTATATTAATCATATGGTCCAACTACCCACCTCTGGTGGAAATCCAGTGGATCTTTCATTTCAAGCTGTTTCTATTACATTTAGATTTCCAAAAATGAGAAAGGAAGATTACAAAGGAGAAAGAACAGGGTGGCTCCGCCTAGTAACATTTTACCTCCTCCTCCTCCATTGGTGGAGGACAGAGGGGAGAGGGGGACTTTGGTGGTGCATTTATTCATGAAAACTACATTGCCGACAACACCTTCCTCAAAAAATTTATCGGTTCTTAAATTCCCCCCCCCCCCCCCCCCCCACCTTGACAGTTATACAGAATACAAATGCTTAAAAAAAGTTTGACTTCTTCATCCTTTTTTTGGTTAGATAGCTTGAAACTTCCTCTGAAATTACTGCCATGTAAAAGGAAACGTGTAGACTTTACTTGCTAGAACAATAGTCTCAAAACAATAAAGTACACTTGATTGAATCTTAAATTATAAGCCCTACAATGTTCTAATAAATTATAAGCCCTACAATGTTCTAATGCAACCATATATATTTGATTTGGAGACATATATGGTGTGGACCAGTGTAATTATATAGTATAGTCAACATTGTTGAAAATCCCAAACTTCGGATCCAAAGTTTAATTAGCTAACGTGGTTCATGCAATCACCTCAAGCTACGACTTTTTTTGCATAAAAAAAATCTCACACCCCCACACCATATTAATGTTGATCACATGGCTCCTTTAACCAGTCATCTCTATCTGTTGCCATTCTGTATTATGCATACATTAGTTGCTGAAACTTTCAGAAATATCATTTTCTGCTTCATCATATTGAAGTGATAGGGTCGAAAGCTACATTTACCAGCTTTTTCTGTGGGCATATGATAGAAATAAGTTTTCGTTTCAGAATTTGGCTATGTTTTCAAATTTATGATTTTTGGCTTCATTGTTTCTAATTGTAGAATAGAGCCAATAAGAATAGCAGTGTGTTACCAAATTTAAAAAACTTAAACCCATGGTCAATTTGAGAAAGGTATACATCTATGTTGATTATTGGATTTAATGTCTTCAAAATGGGAATGTTTGTCTTACCCTAATTTTTTTGGGATTATTACACATTTAGCATAGAATTATAATCAAATTCTTGATTTGATACCTAAAATTTAAAATTCATAATTAAACACTTAAATTTTACTTTCGCCCTTTACTTTACATACAAAACTGACGATGTTAATCAATTTGATGATGTGTTGAAAAATAATTCGTAAATATCATAAGTTTAAAAACTGTCACATCAACATGTAATGTGTTGTGATTTTATTGATTAATGCTTTGGAAACATCACTAATTTTACTAGCGAAATTAGTCTTTCATGTAAATTAATTATGGATGGAATTTGGAAGCAAAATTCAAATACCTATTTACGAATTTCTTAATTTTAAGTATTAAATCAAGAATTTAACTATAGTTTGGATATCAAATATGTACGAGGAATGTCTATTTTTGTATCACTGCTTCGCTTTAAGATATCAGCTATGTCTTCTACACGATTAACATAGGAATTGCAGTGATAAAACAAAGGAGGAGAGCTTGAAAATTTATATACTCCTTAAACACCCCAATTTAGTCCCCATTTGGATTCCATGACATTGCTGGTATGGTCCGATTAAGCTTATCATACTTTTAATTGAATTCAAATACTAACTCTAATGATGTCGAGTCAACATAAATTTTTCATTAATTTTTTTTTAATTGTAGTTATAATAATTTTTTTTAATTACAATTATGATAATTTTTATTATTGATTTCAATCTCATCACGATCAATTTTATCGTTCATCTAAATGGAACTTTAATTTACTTTGATCAATTAGTAATTTTATTATTATTTTTTTAAAGATAATATCATGAATAATCCTTAAATTATAATAAAATATTTAATATAATACAAAAATTTAAATAAAATATAATATTTAAAAAATTTTAAAATTCAAATATCATATAATTAAATATTTCATTATAATTTAAGGAACATTAACCCTTCATTTTATAATTTCCTCTTGATAAAATTATAGCAATCTCGCTTTAATATAAGGCATAAGCTGGTCAATTGCTATCTTAAATGGATTTAATTGACTGACCAACAATTGATGCCTGACAGCATTGGATGCTTCTTTTATGCAAAAAGTTTTTGTCATGAGAGGGACAAATTTTCACCTTAAAACCCCACGATGAACCAATCGATAACAAAAAATTTCTTATATGGGTCTGCCAGACTGCCATGTGTATGGCCAAAATTACTCAGTTTTCAAGATGCAATTTGGTGTTGATCCTTCCAATACTTGTGATTGTTACCTGCAGTTTGCTGGAAAACCAGAATGAATAGGCACATTTATAATGTTAGCTAGATTGTTATTATCTTAGGGAAATTTGATCAAAGGAGATGTGTTGCTACTTGCTATAACTTAGAATACACCTGGGCTATATTTTTTAAAAAGAAATGATCATTTGATAAAATTTAATTTTACGTGTAACCCCAAATCACGTATCGTTATATTATGAGAATTTGTTATTTTATATACATAAATATTTGAACTCATACTTATAAGATTTTATAAAACAAAATTATAAAACATTTAAATTAAATTAGATAATATCTGATAGTTTAGATGAAAGTTTCTTATAATATATTTGGTTACTTGAACATTTTCACCACAAGATTAATTAGTGCTCCAAAAGTTTTGACTACATCATAAATTTAAACGTCTTTATAATGAATTTGCTGAAGTTTAATCCATATGATAGTGTCCAGCTATACTTTGATTATCACTTATGCAAAAAAAAAAAAAAAAAACCATGATCGTTGCAAAAGAAAGTTTGTAGGCCATCTGGGATGATATGGACATCTCTTTGTTAAAAAAATAACTCTTCATTTACACACTGGAGCTACTTGTACTGGTATTTGTTTTATGGCACAGCTGGTAGCACACTGCATTAATGTTTGATCAAATGGATACAACATAATAAACAAAATCCTTATATATAGCCAGCTGAGCTATCTACCCTTTCACAGTCAAGGGGGATTGGTACACTTTAGAAGAAAGAAAGTGTCCTTGGTCGGGTATCTTTAGAACCATTTCAATGGATAATTCGTTCGTTTTTGTTACGATTTTTGGTCTGCTACTTGCATTAGGAAATGTAGCTTCTCAAGCTGAAGCTGCAAGGGCATTTTTCGTGTTCGGAGATTCACTAGTTGATAATGGTAACAACAACTATCTAGCTACTACTGCTCGAGCTGATGCATACCCCTATGGCATTGACTATCCGACTCATAGAGCTACCGGCAGGTTCTCTAATGGCCTTAACATCCCAGATCTTATCAGTAAGTTCGTTCATTTTTTTTCAGACACCTTGTTCAATTTGCTTTGATATTACACTTTTTCTTATGGAGTATGGTAATGTTTATATGTGTTATTCAGGTGAGCAAATTGGTTCTGAACCAACATTGCCATACATGAGCCCGGAGCTCACAGGACAAAAGCTACTTGTTGGTGCCAACTTTGCATCTGCTGGAATTGGAATCCTCAATGACACTGGAGTTCAATTTGTAAGTCCAATTCCCAAGTACAATTTCCTTTTCAGTTATGCCTCTCCATTAGTTATCAAAATGTCTTAAAGTGCTGCTACATTTGTAGATCAATATAATCCGAATTTCCAGGCAACTAGATTACTTCCAGCAATATCAGCAGCGTGTGAGCGCACTTATTGGACCTGAACAAACTCAACGCCTAGTGAATGAAGCACTCCTTCTCATAACCCTTGGTGGCAATGACTTTGTAAACAACTACTACCTGGTGCCCTTCTCAGCAAGATCTCGCCAATTCACCCTCCCAGATTACGTCGTCTTTATCATTTCCGAGTACCGGAAAATTCTATTGGTGAACCTGCCATTACTCATATCATATTTACACACCTTTCATCTTTATTGCAGAATTTATTGTGCACAACTACCAATCTAACTGGCATTGCTCCAGCTAGGGAAAATGCCACAATGAGATGACCAATTAAAGGAGTAGCTAGGAACAATATACACTTTAATGTCAGTAATAATATGGGGACAAGTATCCTTGCTCCTGTATTTATGGAGCCTAGAGATAGTTATATTTATTGTTATACATCAAGTTTGGTTTGGTTGGTGATGCCAACATGCATTGTGATGTTGTTTCAACTGCTATATTTAAATCCAACATGCATTTTGATGGTTGTATATATGATACATAACTTTGTCATTAATGTTTTCATAATGAATGCCCATGAAACCCCATTCTTCTGCATAAATCTGAATACTTTAATTGTCTATGATTTAGGCACTAGGTAATCTCAGATATCGGAAACTAGATTACTAGCAATTTCACCATGTTTCCAATGTGATTATTGATTTCTGAAGGACTAATAAAAATCAGTAAAACGTTGATACAAACCTAGAGCTTAACTCAATTAGTTCATATAGTCACCTTTAAGAGATGGGATCCTAGTTTAAAATTCAAATCCCAACACCTGCAACCATTTCCCCTATCCCCAAGCTATGACTTGCTTTGTTCAAAAAAACGTTGATACAATACTTTAATTACTATATATTTTACTTTGCAGAAGCTGTATGATTTGGGGGCAAGGAGGGTTTTGGTGACAGGAACTGGACCATTGGGTTGTGTCCCAGCAGAACTAGCTCAGCACAGCAGAGCTGGTGAATGTGCGGTTGAGCTGCAACGAGCAGCAGCCTTGTTCAACCCGCAGCTTGTTCAAATGCTAAACGGACTCAATAGTGAGCTTGGGTCACATGTTTTCATTGCAGCAAATGCATATGAAATGCACATGGATTGGATCGGTAACCCTCAAGCATATGGTAAGCATCTTTCACGTTAGAACACTATTTAATGCTAATACTGAACATATCAATTATGATTTTATCAAACTGTAAAAGCCACAAACTGTAAAATTTTGTAGATTCAAAGATCTATAGCATGTTTGTTGAGAAGTGATAAACAAGGGAGGAAAGTAGTTGAATGACAGAAAAAACAAAGGGACCATTTTGAAGTAAATGCGCGCAATTATAGAAATGCGAGCTAAGGCTCTGGTTGGTCCCCAGACTCTGCATAAAATTTATTGTTGAAGCTATAAAGGCCATTGGCCCAAAACAAATTTGCAACTTCAGAAGCTAGGGGATTCTCTCTATCCATGTTAATTTTATTTTAAACCATTACTTGTAAAGTATAATTTTGTTCTTCTAGGTCATATTACTTGTAAAGTATAATTTTGTTCTTCTAGGTCATAAACCTTGCTGTTAAGTACAGATTTCACACCATATAGGCTTTGTCAATGGTTTGAAAAACTATTTAAACTCACAACAATCTGAATGTTGGATTGTCGGAGATGAGATTTGAATCTGAAACTTCCATTTTGGAGTAAAATGTGACTAGACTAACATTAACCCTGTTATGGCCACATTAAATTTAGCATAAACCTTGTTACTAGCACATACTAATCATCTGCATAATATGTTTTCGGGCAGGTTTTGTTACATCAAAGGTAGCCTGCTGTGGACAAGGACCTTACAATGGAATCGGACTCTGCACAATAGCATCAAACCTGTGCCCTAACCGAGACATTTACGCGTTTTGGGATCCATTCCATCCATCAGAGAGGGCCAACAGGCTGCTTGTACAACAGATGATGACTGGTTCCAGCAAGTACATGAATCCAATGAACCTTAGCACCATTATGGCATTAGATTCTAGGGTCTAGCAATCTTAATACTACACTCCTCTATATTTTCCCTATTAAACTGGTTTTTTTTTCTACTTAGTTGTATGCCTGGATGAGATATTGTTATTGTTATATGCTTCAAATTGAATGCCTGCAGCATTGGTTAATGACTAAACATTGGTAAAATGTCAGATTATTCTTCTTGAATAATAGCTTGGATAATTCAGTTACTCATAACTAGGATTTGGTACTTGAGGCTGTTAGAATTTAAACCCTCATTACCGAAAATAAGAGTCCAACATTTTACCAATAAATCAGATAACATATTGACTTGGGTTCATTTTTTTTTTTAAATAATGCTGTAAATTTTCAATAATGTTGTGAATTTCTAGATTACCTAGTAGGAACAATTCGTACTGTAAAACTATATAAAAAAAAAAGTACTCTAATAATAACTTGTAACAAGTTGCACCAATATTAATAGTAGCTGCCTTCTATTAGGGTCCAACTAATTAATATGAGAGTACCTTGGAAGAACTGTGTTGTGGGCAAGGGAACAGAAGAGCCTGTCTAACACATGCGATTGGCTCTCTTGTCATCTCATTCTGCCCAAGGATACAATGGGGTAGTTGGCCACGCTGTTCCACAGTTCCAGTAACCTGACTGGATCTTGTCGAGCCACTAGCCAGTGATTATCAGCTGGTTTAAACAAGGTATATATGCCAGTAGCCTTTTTGTTTGTTTATTTAGTATTATATTATATCCTCTCCTTTTAGTGTGGATCAGTTCAATCGGAATTCTGATACATTTATGAAATTAGATGATGATGAAGGATGAATAAAATGGCTAAAAAAATGAATTTATCTATTAAAATGGTGCAAGACAGAGCCAATTTAGGTAAAGATGTAATGTGCTGATGATAAAGTGTTCTCAAATTCAACAAATCTAAGCTGAACTTCCACATGAGATTAAGTTAATTATATCTTCCAGAAATAATCTGGTGAAGTTTGCTTTCATTTCTCATACTCCAAGAGAACAAAACTCCATTTCTAACGGTTTGGTTAAATCTCAAGCTCAAGGAACACAAGATTTCTCTACTTATTTTCTTTTATACGTAAGAAACTACAACTTAAAAATAAAGAAAGAGGTTTCAAGTGTTGGGATTTGAACCCCAGACTTGCTATTTACTTTTGATTTCTGCTTATCATTTTCTTTGTTTCTTGTTCTTAGTTTCTCTTGAACTATGTATCTTTCTTATCAATATATACCTTCTTGCCTTTCAAAAATAATAATAATAATAATAATAATAATAAAACCACAACTGCCATAGCCTTTATTCAATCTTGGTTTTGTTTTAAAATTAAAGGAAAATGATAGGAAATAAAAGGGCAATTGAAAGGGTAAAATATGATTTTATCTAATGCCTAGCCTGCAGTAGAAGAAAGAATTACATAACCATCAATTTGATCAATAATTTTTCTTAGCCAAAACATTATTGAGCAAATTTTGTGGAACTAAGAATGATGAATAAATAAAGATATATATATATATATATATATATCGTAAGGGGGAAAAAGGCATTTATTTCAAACAATACATACATATGTACTACTACTGCATACTGAATAACCTTTCTTATTTTTCAGGAAATAAATGACCGCAAATGAGTAGGTGAAAAGCTTTTTCACAACCTCCATCCAGGTGAAAACATCAAGTATACTGCTGGTAGTATAATATTTTCTATGGTGCACCATTGCTTCTCCGGTACTTGGCAGAGTTACAGGGAGAGTTTTCATTACATTGTCATGGCTAATTACTTAGTTTATGGTTAATATTGTATCATCATTGTTAGCTTCATTGTGGCAACAACAACTTCTTGGAAACCTCTGCGTGCCCGAGCAGATTCACCTCTGTATGAAATCAATTTCCCAACTCAATCATCCTACCGGACGATTCACCAATTGTCTTAACATAGCTGATATCATCAGCAAATTGAGCTTCATTGAGATATATATTTATGTTATTACCATTTTTTTTCTGTCACAAACTTATTGCGTGTTATTTTGATCACTTGCATATAATGTGACATATGCAAAAAAATTTGGTAATCATGAGGTGAAGATATTTGCTCAGAGCCCACATTCCCCTACTTGAACCCTGTCGGCCCCAATTTTGCATCTGCTGGAGTTGGGATTCTCGATGACGATTCAATTTGTATCAACATATTTTGCCCTGCAGTCTCATTTCCTAGACCAATATATACTTTTGTTTTTGTTCGTATGCTGTTAGCATAATTTATTGTTGAAACATTATCCGAATCTACAAGCAGTTCAAGTTTTTGAAACATTATCAACTTAAGATTGTCTGCCATTATCAGACCTGAGGCAGCTGAACAGGTTGTGAATGAAGCACTGGTGTTCATTTCCTGGGCATTGGTAATAGTTTTTTCTTGCATAATTTATATAAAATAAAAAAATTGATCAGTGCTTGATCTATATTGTTACTTTCAACTCTGATGATTTGCAAAACAGACTGATGCCAATGCTGAAACAGGATTTGGGACATAAAAAATAGCCTGTTGTCTGCAAGGATCCAAGCATGTGGCCTTGGACTTTGCACTCCACTTTGGAATGTGTGTCCCAACAGAGACCCGTATTTGTTCTGGATGCATTCAATCCAACCGAAAGAGTCAACAGAATTCCTGCGCAGCATATGATGAGAGGCTCCACCAAGAACATGCACTCCATGAATCTCGTTGATGTTCAAATTTGTCCAAGGTTGTTCAAGGACACCATGACTTGATTCATCTCTCATGAATTAGAACCTTTTTTTGTGGTTTAATACTTTAAGTAGAAGAATTACATGTCTAAATTTAGGTGTTTTTGCTTGGCAAATTCGGATTTTTTAAATTTAGAATTTAGTTCAGTTCATTCATGTAACCACCCTTAAAAGGTGGCATTTAGCAAATCTGAAATTCAAATATCAATATTTACAACTTTTTCCCTTATTCTTAATTTACGACTGTTTATGTAAAAAAAAAAATGAAATAATTTAAAAAGAATGATAGCGTATATCACATAGACCTATTTAATGGTCGGGCTACTCATCCAGATATGAAGGTTCACTCAAGTTTTGAAAAAATTTGGATAAAAAATTAAACTTCGTTAAATGGATTTAAATATAATTTTAGGTTAATTTAAATTTTGGACTGAGCTTTAAACAAAATTGAAGTCTGAATTCGACTTGGCTTAATTTAAATAAAATATATAATTAAAATATTATAATTATATAAATATATATTTATATATATATGAATTTTTATTTTTATATTTTATTTTTTCAAAAAAATAATTTTTTATTTTTTATTTTATAAATTAAGTTTAATGGATGAATTTGAGATTTATTTTTTAATTTAAGCCAAACTTGAAAAATTTTGAAATTCAAAATATCAATTCAAGTCAAACCTAGATAAATATATAAGTAGTTATTAATATCAAATATAAATCAAGTCCAAACTTGACTCTACCCAACCTATAAACATCTCTAATACGGAATTGCTTTTGTCTTTGCTCTACCAGTAACAAATAGAATGTTGCAGTTTTAGACACATTTGTTGGTAGCTAGGCCTTTCATTTGTAACAATCAGAATCATCTTAATGCTATTAGCATTCTTAGAAAAGAAAAAAAAAATTGAATGCTATTATTTATATCCTTTTTACTATTCATTCTTCTAATATGTAAATAAAACTTTTTGCAATCTTAAATTGAATTTTGTGTAATTGACTCCTTTTTAATAATTTTGTTTTGTTAATTGTTTATGTAGGAATTAATTTTGTCAATCATACACATTATGCAATTATATACAAAAAAATTATGCAATAATCACAATTTCCATCCATGTACTTAGCTTCCCTTCACCAAGTTAACCCTTTCAATTACAAATTATACTTTAAAAAATAATAAATATTATAAGTTAGATACGAATCTTCACATTAAATATCGAGGATCAACCTAAGAGATATTGATATTTGGATCTCGAACCTAAGACCTATGAATTTTTTTTTAAACAAATTTATTTATAAATGTTGCATATATTAAATTAAATAAAAATTTGTGTCTGCGTACATGTGCATGCATATATGTTTTTTTATAAATATAAAACAAGTTGGCATTGAAACTCAATTGATCTAGCTAGAACATATTTAATGATAATATTTTGCATAATATGCACTGAAACAAAAAATAATTGTGGTTGTACAGGAGTGTGAATATGGTTCAATCAAAGAGTAGGGACAAGATTTTCATACCCATGCTTTTCTGGAATTTAAGAGCCTGAAAAGCAGGTTGAGGATTAATAATAGCTGTTAAATTAGTATGAAAACTTTGGTGAAAGTGGTTAGTTGAGCCTTTTTCCAACTAAGTAAGGCTTGCATATTTTTCCAGAGTCGATGGATTTTTTTTCTTTTAGTTTGAGTATATCTAATAATGTTAGATATCACACAAAAATAATACAAATAAAAAATACATAAAAATGATATAATTTAAAATTTTAGTAAAAATAAAAAAATATATAATGTATTTGATATGTCGACATAAATTATGATACGATAATTTTCATATTTAATACAAAATAAATATAATATAAATATACAAATTATCAAATTTAATTTTGAGTAAGTCGTTGATATTTTTAAAGCTTTAAAGATCTTTTAATTTATATATATATATATACCTCTTTTTGCACATTTAAGTTTTAGTGGTCCAAAAATCTATTTTTGAATTGTAAGCACAATTTCAGATGTTTATTTGTATAGTGGATGGAGCTATCATTTTATAATTTTTTAAGCACATTTCATTTTAGTGGTCCAATTATAGCTTTTTTAAACCAATTTATGTTTATGGTATATAATATATATATATATATAGTAATAGAAGAACTATCAAAATTAAAGGAACTTTAATTAATCAACACTTTTGATTGACAAGTCTTTGATGCTATGTTTATGATTTATGAAAGAATTGACTGTTAAAATTATATTAATGCATTTTTTTCAATTGATAAATATATTATTCTATACATTATCTATTATCCACAAATTATTTACTTACTTTAAAAAAAAAAACTTTGATGAGGTTGAAATTTATATATCACATAAAAAATTTTAATTTATCTCATGAAATATAAAATAAAATATTTAAACATTTGAGATATTGGATTCATGGCTTTAATATTATTTCATTATAAAAATTAATGATAATTATTTAAAAAAAAAAAAAAAACCTGGCCTTTTTCCATGCATTCTTTATCATGGTTTGCTTTGATCAAGACAACCATCCCTGAATTTGTATTTTTTTTCCTTAATTTTCTTGCTTTTTTTTTTTTTTTTGCAATTTAGAAATAAGTGAAAGTTGTTGTAAT